GTTAAGTTTTAGAGCCTCAAGACACCAAAAGGAGCGCTGACTAAGGAAAGCATAAGCAACTGGATGATGAGGGAACTTCTGAGAATATCAAGGGCAAGTTCAAAAGATGCAAAAAATTCCCTGAAATTCTCACTTTTGACCTCTTTTTTTTCCACCGTGTCCGTTTTTTTTGTACATTCTGTGAAGAGGCCACCTGCATTATTATTGTGCTGAAGCAGCATCTCGGCACCTTCCCCGCTGTATTTCATAATTAATGCCTCATTAAGGCATGCATGCAAACATATGTGCCAGGAAGGGCTCATCTCCTCAAGATGCACTAGATTTCTAAGCAGCTGCCCTGTCTCAGAGCAAAAAAACCGGAGGAGAAACTTCTGAAGAGACGACAAAAAGGAGACAAAACAGCAGGAATGAGAGAGCTGAAACAGACTGATTTATGACATAAGGTGGCGTAACGGAAACACAGAACTCTTGATGCGTGTCAGGGCCTGGGATGGGCTTAATGAACCACACAACGGTAACTATATTCTGGTTTGGTGGGTGAAAACTTCGACAACGAACCAAATCGGGAATTTCTGTCATTGCTAGGTGAGCTTTTCATTGGATGGAAATATCTAAAGGACTAACACAGAGCTAGTAAATTCATTTGAAAATGTCTTTTTACTACTTTTATACTGCTAAATTTATTGGTGGAATTATCTGCGGTACCTAGTGACGTCCTGGCAGGGACTGCATCCTTGTTTATCCAGAAAGAGACCCATGACAAGACAACGATCAGTGTGCATGGGATGTAGGTCTGGATGGTGAAGTAGCCCATCCTCCTGCTCAGGTCAAAGAAGACAGTCAGCACCACATAGTCACCTGGACAAAGACAAAGAGCAGGAGAAAAACTTTGTGAGAGCATTGTTGAATCAACAATATTACATTTATGATATAAAGCATACATGGTGCACGTAAAGTTACTGTATTATGTGCCGTAAAATACACAAAATGACAATGAAATCAGCATGGAGTATTGATTTTAAGTCAGTACTTAACCAAAAAGGTCCTACAAGGTACTGCTATTGTCAGACACTGTTTCATGAAAGCATTTCACATGATCTGCTGCGGTCAAAGATGGCTGTCAACACAGAAACACCAAGAGGAGATTAAACAAACTGTTCGGTCTTCAGTACATGGCGTTATGTAAGCAAAATCCTTCCTGCATGGTAGCCCGAGGCAACCCGAGATCTAAAACGAAAGCGAGCGATGCAGTGAGCTGGAGCCGAACTTGCTTGGATGCACACACACAAAAAAAAAACCCCTCGTCTCCTGCCAGTAGTTAGCTGAAACATGAGCACCAGCCGCCAGATGATGATGAGCCGTCCCCGCGCTGGCTGGCTGAACCCGGCAGATGTTGGGTGTAAAGAGGTTGAGGTTAACTGAGCCCGGAAAGACCTCGCCCTGACGGTATGGATCATGTGCTCCGCCTGTTTAAATTGCATTTTAAGCATAAATGCCGAGCACACTGGCACGAATGTGACTGTCATTCGCACCTTAACAAATCTGTGTGTTTTTGTGTGTTTTTTTTTGCACCTTTTAAGGAGGAAGGACTGAACCAAACCGGGGAACTGACATGAAATAATTTCATGACACACTCACACCCCAGTGCTATCCTCTCCAGATTGACGATGAAACTGCTCGCCAATAGGCAGCTGTCCTCTTTAGCCGTCTACCGATGTTCCTGTCTGTCTCTGTCTGCGTTCTGCTGGCCTGGTCAGATGTCGGCTAATTGATTAACATCACACAATTAACGGTGTCACAAACCTCCCCCTGGCCTCTCCCTATGCCTCGTAACCTTTCGGGCCCAAGTGAACTATCTCTCCTCTGTGTGTTGAATCTGGAGCTGGGGAATGAGTAGAGGCCCCGAGCTTTTTGCCTCACGGAAAACGGCATACTTCACCTACTGAAACGCATCCATATGTGAGCTAAATGAGAGTCTGAGTTTGCAACGGAAGACACACACAAAAAAAGGGAGGACACAGTTGGCGTGTGTTCAATTTCGAACCGTCTGTATAGTGTGTAAGCTGTTCCTTGTGATCTCTGTGCCCTGTCCGAGTCTCCGTTCCTCCTCTTGCTCATTCACCACTGATAGTGCCATTTAAAGAAAGGAGAAAGAGAGAAGAAAAGCGAGCGTACGTATCATCATCTGGGGTTTTCTGCTGACGCCGGCAGGTGCCTGGGATATTGCGGCGGCGTGTAGGAGATCAGCACATGTATGAAGGCAGCCCCTCAGGGGCCCCCTGCAACCCACTATTTTGTTTTTTTTATTAACACAACATTAGCCGAAGCCCAAAACCGAGACCCCTGACAGCTGAGAAAACTGCATGTGAATACACTTATTCCAGCTCGGTCAGCAGCATAAAAAGCCTCCCTCACGTTTCCCTCAGACTCGTAACAATAATGGACCTTCCACCACAGGGGTGATTTCTGTGAGACATAAGACTCTCCCGCCCAGGTTTTCTCTTAATCCGTTTGCAGGTTTCGCTGTGCATTTTCCGAGAAGACGCTTTGAAGGGGATGCGATCGACCGATTCCCTTCATCCCGTCAGGAAAACGTATGTGTATCAGATTGCGTGCTTTTACAGCCCGTTGGTAATGCATCAGTTTCGTTAATGACTTCCTGATCCCACTCACAACAAAATGGTTCTCCCCACTGGCTCGAATGTTTGGCAGGGATTTCGCAACATGACCATTTGGGGAACAAATTGGTTAGTGCTCCAGATAAACAGTCCCAACACAATTAGTAGAGTGTGTGAACACATTAAATTACACAAATTTGTTTCATGCGGAAATGATTTTACAGGGCAACACGAGTGTGTTCGGGACATATGCGGATGCAGAGATGGGTTAGTGTGCATTACCATCACTAGAAGCAAAATAATTCACATTCCTGTACATAACTGCCTTAGATATTAATAATTTATTGTTTGGCCATTTCATGAAATTGTCCTAACCCCTCCCATCTCCGGGCCAGATAGGAATAACATCCTGGCATTGTCCACTTACGCCTATTGTTACACGTAAACACTATGAAGATAAGCAGACAGAGGAAGGAATACAACTTTGACAAATCCAAGTACAAATAAAAATATGATACAAGGTCTAACAAAGAGTTTCTAAAAAAAAAAAAAACAGTATACATTACAGAAACAAACAGGAAACAAGTGCAGGAACAATACCGAGGATGTGACTGAAACAAGACAACCGAACAACTGGCAACTGGAAGGACTCAGCTATAAATCCAGCGGACAGAGGGCTTCTCTCCTCTCTGTATTTTTCATCTCAGCAAAACATCTTAAAGGATTTATCCGGAGGGGGCAGGGAAGGGAGGAGATTGTCGGCGATGCGTAAAGCCAGGATGCACCAAGTGTCCTTTTGTGGACATTTTTTGGGCATTTTGGATTTATAAAAGTGCCTTGGCCCACTGTTTCACACTTTGTGCCAAATAAAACATAAACACATCGCCATGGACACCGTTAATCTCATCCAACAGGGATAATAGAATAAAGAAGTAATCTATACCAAAGCAAATGGAATATGATTCACCTGTATCACGTGTTTAATTGACCTCGGGTTAACACGATGCCTTGGAGGCAAGGATGTCTGTTTTAAATGCAAGGGGTAGGATAAGGGGTAGGGCAAACATAAAAAAGTACGCGCCAAAAGAAAGTAGGAACATCCAGATAAAATCCAAAAACTGACTGCAAATAAAACATTAAAAATGGGCCAGATTTTTCTGATAATCGGGCCCATTTGCACACGTTCAAACTGCAGATATTACTTTTCACCATTTATCCCTGCAAAGGCAAAAGGCAAAAAGACCTAAACGGTGCAGCTAGAATAACAAGCATACACCTCTTTGTGCCCTCAGTAGAGTCCTCAAAGCTTATCATAAATTGGTGTATGGGGCTGCTGTAGCTCAGGGAAAGGAGCAGTTGCCTACCAATTGAAAAGTTGGTACTTCGACTTAAGGCTTTATCGAAAGTAAGACACTGAATCCCAAGTTGCCTACTCGGGCATTCTCTGGTATCCTTGTTAGTCACTTTGGATGAAAGTGCCTGCTAAACGCATAAATGTAAATTCAAGTGGAGTCAGTAACTTATATTGCATGCTGATAGGTAGATGCTTCTCAGGCTAATAGTAGATGAAAGCTTTAAGACCGTTGGTGCTTTGCTTTCTCTCTGTTTATTGAAATTACACATATTTCCAACTTTGTCAATCCTTTTATATATATATATTTTTGTCATAATTACACAGCAATCAATTCTACCCAGCCCGTTCTTTAAATAATTCATGAGTGGAGAATGCTGAAGTCAGCTGTGGAAAAAAATAAACTATGCGGACAACAACTGAAAACTATTGTTTATATTAAGATAGGGTTTGAAGCATTTTTATTAAGATCACACATTTTCATGGATAAAGTGATTCACCGTGACTTAATGTAATCTGCAGAAAGCAATAAAAACATGCTGGAAATGATCATCCATCAGAAAATAGAGTTGCATGGCTGTTCAAAGCTACAGCGAGAGCACACTCAATAGAACAAGACAGGCTTACGGCCAAAAGAAGGAGAAAGTCTGCCAACAGGACTCCTCTGCTCCTTGAGTAGTACACCGAAATGGTGTGTTTTTATCAAAATTATTAGACAACAGTATATCCAATTGCACTGTGAGTGCAGAACCAGCAAGAAGAGGGATCTCAGTTGGACTGAACAAAATGTAAAGTAGCCACAGAGGAGTTCAGGACAGTGAAACAGAAACTCAGCCGCACTTACCAGGAGAATAAAAATTGTCATATGAAAGCATCGTTCTGCTGGCAGCAAGGCTGGAAATTGCTGTGGATATAGATGGATGGGGGGGAGACCTAGGACACATGCTGGCCATCCAATGAGGGTAGTAAAGCTAGACAAACTGTAGGGCTGCTGAAAGGCTGTCTCACTGAGTCTGTCTCCTCTGTAAAGTCGTGTATATAAGAGGTGACAGTTGTGCATATATCCATCCATCCATCCATACATACATACATACATACATACATACATACATACATACATACATACATACATACATATATCAATCCATCCATCCATCCATGCATACATAAATATGTATATGTGTGTGTGTGTATAGGCAACAGCTCTCTGCTGTCAATAAATATATATATAGAGATTTGGAATTGCTTAAAAAAACATGTTAACAGCTCGTTTTCATGGTCATGGAATATAACTCATCACTTTCTGTGACATGACCAGAGGCAGCAAGTGAATGATTAACCAGTCCCAATATTCCTTCCAAATGGTGGTTGACAAGATGACATCACAGAAATAAAAAAAAATAAAAAAAGGAGCAGCATTGTCACGGTGAGTAACTGTGGCAACATGGCAGCATGATTAAAGCGCCCAAACAGCAGTGTGCAGAGTTTGATTGCCTCGTTGTTAACATTGTGTTTTCTGAAACGGGGACAGATGATTATCCCTCTCTCTGAAAGACTAATAGTTGTCACATTGTTGAGCGGGAGCTGTTTGTAGGGTTAGCAGAGGGTGAACAAACAGTGTGTAGCACTATTATTTAACAGGAATGCCAACCTGACAAAGCATATTCTCATTTAAGAGAGGATTTCGTTCAACATAAATTAATACCTAAATTCAACGGACAACCTCTAAAACCAATTCCTTATGCAGAATAAAAATCCAGCCGCAACATTACAGGCCTGTTTTAATTCTACCTTTTCATCCATGTAAACAAGCTTATTTGTAATTAATCAAATCCCCACAAAGCAATTAAGTTGCCTGTCCTGCCCACATGCATTTTTTCAAATAACAAATACAAAACAACTTACATGTTGTTCCCACCTCAAACATCCTGA